ACAACAAAATTGATTCCCCAGTTCACTGCCGCGTGTTTTATATAATTGCAGTAAGCATTTATAAAGACGCCTTCTGGGTTACGGAATTGTCCTACCAAATCTTTTTTAGATGCACCAACAATATTTTTAAACATTTAACGAGAAAGTCAATTACAGTTCTTTTCATGGACGATATAATCCCATAAGGTGTGGATTTTGAAGATGCATTCAACAACTTCGTTCAGGTCCTGAAAGTAGCAGCAGAAAATGGTCTAGAATTTAATTTTAAAAATTGCAAATTTCTTCGTTTAACGTTTAGGCTATGTTGTTAAAAATGTCACTGTAACTTCTGCACCAAGATAAATGCGGTACAATATTTTCCTGATCTTAAGACAATTAAACAAGGTCAGAGCTTTCTAGACCTCACAAGTTATTTTAGAAAATTTGTAGAAGACTATGCCAAAATCGCGTATCCATTGTATAAGATCAAAGATGGGCAAAATTTCTTCTTCGGAGACACTGAAATTGTGTGGCACTGACACTGACACATTGACACCGAATTGTCATTCGCAGAACTTGTTCTTAATGCATCGTGAACAATGTGATCTTATTGTGGTAAATCTACTTACGTTCATTCATGTACGTAAGTTATTTTGTTAATTAATTAATGACTTGTCAAGAATGTGGCAGAACTAGTTCGACTTCTGGTAACTGTATACAACTGGTGTAATGTGTAAAACGGTTGTTCTGATAACAGTATGCACAGAATTATTAACTGCATTCGCTACAGCTCATAATTGGTGATTGCGTATTGCACAGTATATGCTATTAGTTATCTATCATCGATCTCAGCTACATGTACATGAACTCCTTACGTGACCTTGCCAATCACGACAACACTGGCAAAATACTTTGTCCGAGCGTTTGACAGCCGACAGCACGTGGGCAAACAGTATTCCTGGATGTGCGTGCGTGTGTGCGTGTCCCCTCCCCACGCAATCGTCATGTCGCAACCCGACAAAGTCTGCGATCTCAGAAGATGGAGCTACTCACCCGTATTGTTTATGTGTTCTACGACGTCTTTCCACAGGCACATCCTAACAATCTACGAAAACCATTATGTGCAATTACTTGTATGCTCAGAGACTTTATCCTTAATTATGCGCTGCAAGGACACTTCATCTCCTTTTGCATATCTGATTCAGTAATTCATATCATAATTTGTTCATAATCTCCTTGTTTTACGATTCAGTTATATTATTAATTTCAATGCTTTCATTTATTCCTGAGTAATGGGACACCCCCAAAATAATTAACTTTCAGCCATACGAGTCTCATAACTCCTTCAAGAGTGGTCCAACGTTCAGGTAAGAAAATAAGTTAGAGAAGCATGACAGGGATTGATATGCCTAAAGGTCACACCTAACAGTTCACAGTCTGTTTCTGCATATCACCTCCGCCAATTAATATTTTTACGTGGAATATTATTTAAAATAAATTTGATCATTTTGATCTTATTTGACTAGTGCAGTACTCCCTCTCAGCAGGACTGATAATCAAAGCTACCTTCTGCAGTAAAGGATACGGTTAGAGAGTTAGGTGACCTTGGCTGAATCCTGCATGTCAACTTCTACGAAGCGATTGAACGTTAAAGTTTCACTTACAAAAGTTACCCTAATTTGTAGAAAAAGTATTGTGTGTAACGCGATGTAATGGGTATTAGTACAGTCGTACAAAGTTTACGATACTCGCTTGTTCCTCACTCATATCGTAATATCAGACTCGTGTATTAATATCCATCATCACAGCATCCAACATCATGTACTACTCGTATTATATTCGCCATCCAATTTGTCCAAAACCACTACGTGAATGGCCCATGAGCTAAAATTAACATTGATACTTCATTTACTATCCCTAGAAGACTTAAAACCATCCCCCAACACAGAACCCCCAATACAACATGGAAAGGTTCAACATAGACAGGCTCAAGCCAATTACAACAGCTCTCAGTTATTTACAAATAAGGAATAAGAATAACTGGAAACATAGTTCAATAAAGCATGAAATTAAATTATGGTTTGTCTCGTAGGACGTTTGTAGATTTAGTTTTGGCTATGCTGTTGCTAACGGGAAGAATATTCCTAAACATTGGTACATAAATAAACTAATAAAGACTGAGAAAGATTCTTCATGATTCGCCACAAAGATGGGTTTTGGTAAGACGCCTTCAAAATATGCATTTGGGGAGAACGTCACCTTTTAATGAAAACACTGTGAATGATTTGTTTTCGAATTAATGATTTTAAATGAAAGAATTTCATTTGGGAAACAATTTATATGCAATCTCATGAGACAGGATTTACACGGGCACAACGGCCTGGCAAGGTAATTGCAAATGAAGACGATAAACAAGTCTCCAGCATTACGTCTGGTGAACGAGTGCATCCAACCATCTGTTGGGCAGGGAGTGCTGGGAGTTTGTTTTCCTTGTCAGTGTCAATGACAGAAGTTGGGAGTACTTGGTGGTTACGGCGTTGCTGTCAATTCTAGTGGTCGTATGGCTTGTACAACATTTGAACAGAATTTGCAGCGCTTAAAAAATACCAATTACTCAGAGGAACATCCTGTTTTAGTGATTTTTGATAACCATGAATTACGTGTCACTCTCAAAGCAATTGAATTAGATAAAGATAATGGATTTCACTCCCTCCCTAGCCGTTGGACAATTTTTGCTCCATTTAAAAAAGCATACAAAAGGGCTGATGATGACTTTCTATCCACACTGTTTCTTCATATCATATACCAAAGTTTGTTTCTATTACTTTTCCACTTACTCATTCCCATCCAATATTTTATGTGGATTTTGTTGCACTGGAATTAGTCCATTGAATTCCAAAACATTCACCCTCACTGATTTCCCAAATAATTTGGTCACCGATCGTTCATCATCATAATGGATATCATAATAAAATCATAATGGATACGTTTATTTCAGAAACCCGTCAAACACCAAATTCTTCATTTCAAGAAAATGAACAAATAATCTCCCAATTTTTCTGATTTCAAAATATTTTCATTTATTAATGCAGTTGATATGTTAATATTTTTCATATAAATATGCACTATACGATATGTTTTTTGTCTTGGAATAATAATCTGCTGCAAATGCGTATTTTAGATATTGGCGTTTGACGGGTTTCCTAAATAAACGATTCGATTTCTTTCTTTCCCCATCCCCCCCCGCTCTCTTTCTCTCTCCCTCTCTGTGCATCAAATAACAGATCTTGATTCCTCTCCGAAAATCGAAATTGAAAGTTTCATTTTAGTTAATAAAGCCTCAGGCCCCAGTGGAGTTTCGTTTGAAGACCTAAGGCCCTATCCAAAAGCGGGACCCAGAATAATTAATGGAGGAAAAATAACTCAGAGAAGAGTGTTGAGTGACACCCCTGACAATGCGAGTATAGTGAATGAAAAAGAACTGCAAAGAAAGAAAGGAAACTAGTGGTGCTTCAGTGATCTCGGCTAGCTATTTGGACTTGTCACACACTCTTGCTAGCTGCCATCTATCGCCGCCCAAAGTACATTTGTTTTTAAAATTTCTTACTTTTTCGGTTTCCAAATACTAAAATGGAAATTTTATTTCGAGAATATTGAAGAACAGTAAAATCTCGTGCTAAATTGCAATTTTCTTGCGTATTCTTCGTGCAAAATTTGCAGCCATTTTAAAGAAAAAGGCGCTTAGACTCTATTGTAAATTAGAGATTTGAAGCACTTTTTCAAAAAAAAATTGAGTTTTCGTAAAACTTCATTAGAAGTTTTACTCACAAATAACTTTAACTCACAAGTACTATGGTGTTTACAAATACTATAGTTTTGAGTTAGTTTTCACACAAAAAGGTTGAGTTTTCGAGAAACATTATATGACATGTACTCATAAATACAATGTGAGCAAATTGCCGCTAATATAAATATTAACTATGCGAGAGACAAGTATAACAATTACATTCTCGTAATTTTCGAAAAACAAAATAGTACAACAATATGGCGTTCATGTCATCTAATAGAGTATATTTTGCACTAACCCTATCACAAGTTTAAAGAAAAAAAATTGGAGCAGTTTTTGAGAAAATCTTGTTTTTGTATATTTTTTTAATTGCACTTATTGCTCGCAAGAATACGCGAAAACTACTAACATTTTGAAAAAAATGTACATGATCTTTATAAAAGAACACACTGCGGAGAACACATTTCATTTGAAAGAAAAATCACTCTTTAATTTTGTAGTTGTAGGAAGACCAACGAAAAGTTTTAAAATTTCAGAGTGAAACTTGAAAATAGGACCTATGCCACTTTTGTAAGTGTATATTATTCTATTCTTACAAACACTTTCAAGAAAAAAGTTAGTGTTTTTCGAGAAAATTTTGAAAATGTCCGAAGGGACATGTAAAGTACACCCAAAAAATCCTGATTTTCGAAATCGCAGAGCTTCAACTCAGGCGGAATGGGCCGCATTTTCATCAATTTAGAAAAAATCCTACATATGGTTTAGCCACTAATATTATTCACACACACCAGACGGAGGGACGTTTTGAAAAAAAAATCGGTATCAGAGGACACCAAAATGTGTATTTCCGTTGAAATCTCGAAATCTATTTTCCGCTGCATTACATAACTTTCCGTATGTATGTACGTATACAGGAAAGTAAAACGTAACAGGTGATAATCTAGAAGACATAAATTAGCTATGTAAAAGGAACTTTTGGGGCTGCAAGTAGTAAAGTTTTCCTCCAAATTACACCTGGCGAGAAGAAATATATTGGAGAACTCTTTACCAAACTTAAAATTAATTGAAGACAACAAGTCATGCTAACCCGACTACGAATTGGCTACTCCAACCTCAGCTTTTTTATTTCACAACGACTTCAATAGCGATTGGTGAAGCAGACCCGTGATTTTCTTAACGCAGGAGGAGCTGCCACTCGTTCGCACCGAGCTCGCCCCCGCCGGCCAGACGTTACCTGATGGCGAAGAGCGTCGCAGTCGTCACTTGGAGGCATGCACGTCTTCTCCTCCAAACACAGCGTGCTTCTCTGGCAGACGCTGTGCTTGCACTGGGCGCCGCATCCGACGCAGCGAACGTCCCCGCCCTCGCATGGACCACGCCCCCCTGCCTCTGCCCCGCGTGCGTTGCGCAACTCGCCCCAGCCGAAGGCCGCCCGCCCGCCCGTCCGCCCGGCCGGGATCTTCTATCTTCGTTCGCACCGAGAGAGGGGGCTCAGGTCGTCAATTGACAGGGCCCGTGTCCGGGAGGTCATAAGGTGGGAGTTCTGTCGGTGTGACTGGATTTGTGACACTTGCTACAAGCTACGTCGAACAGTCGCTGAAGAATTCTAGAGAGGCTGTTCTGATCGGGGGGGTTTGGTTGGGATTCATAGTAGAACCCAGACAAACCTGTCATGCACCACGCGCGATCATCCCTTTCTCTTCTTTGTCCAATCCTCATCCCTTATATTCCACTACACTACCATAAATGCACTTCTGGCGGTGTGACTGGAGTTTTGATACTAGCTAGGTAGCTAGGCCAAATTCAGTTGTTGAAGATTTGTATAGGGTAGCTGCTCTGACCGGTAGTTTTCCGAAGGGGAATGTTAGAGAAGTACCCAAACAAACGTGCCATTGCACCGCGTGCGATCATTCCTTTCTCTTCCTTGTCAGATCCTCACCTCTTACATACACTTATATACACGATACTACCATACATGTCGTAAGACTTGTTGGCTTAGAGCTTGCCCCGGATAGTGGGAAATAGCTAGATGGGGAAACCCCGCAAGTCTCGTTACTCGGTGCTGGATTTCACAATACATTTGTGGAAGAACAATACCTCTTGTGATAAAAACATCAACTACACTTATGGGAAACATAATCGCTGCAGTTGACCCGCCCTGAAGCACGAAATAATCATTCAATCCACGATTCGCTGAGAACCCATCGGGCAGGCTAACATGGCTCTGTGACCCGTTCCTTATGGAATGTAGCTTGCGTTTATTATGATTATTATTATTACGTTTTTATTTATATATGAAGCACGGCGAGAAACTTTATCAAATCTCACATATTCATCACAATATAATGATTTTATTCGTCATTTATTACTCAACAAGCTGCTCCTATGTAACACATTCGTATCACACGCAACACAAACAAATGACCTTTTTAAACATAATAATTAGCAAAAACAATATCTCTACTATTTATTTACATATATAAAAAGTATTAGCTACATGTGTACACATCTGACTAATTCTGACGTCTTCTGTGATTACCCATCATTGTTCAAATTTTGCCCTTCGAGAAATGTAGTATTTCAAGCCTGACTGATTTGAAAATGTAGTATTTCAAACACTGAAGGTTCATAATACTATTCTGTCTGTAGAAAACAATATTAGTCGATGTTCCGATCTCCATGGCGACCAGTTTCCGTTGCTGTGTATCCTCGTCTCCCCGAATTTCATTTCCTTTTGGTATTTAATAAAAGTTTTCCGCCGAAATGTTCCCCAATTTTGTTCCGTTGAATTTACATGCAGTCTAAGTTTTGTAAAACGAATTTACTGTGTAAAAGCGATCTTCTCGCTTTGTTCTCATAATACATTTCTTACTATTACTCGAACCAAAACATCTTCTCCTCTTCCATGCTTACTAACAAAAGTCGCTGGTATCTTCTTCGTCTATCAATTGGCTAATATTTTTTATTGCTCTATTCATTTATTATTGTATGTAACATTCTCCTACGCGCATTTAACCACAAACCGTGTTCTGGTTGGCTCTTAGCACACATCTTCATTTACATTTTAGAGAACCACTACTAAAAGCGGTTCATCACAGCATGTATAGCGTGCTAAATTTTAATTTTTAGCACCAGTGCTATAATCAGAGGATGCTCATGTGATCAGATAAAACAGTGAGTACAACAAAGAAAACAAAGTACTTTCGCCTGGCCGTATAAGTTTCTGTTGCCATTAATGTAACATAAAGATTTGTATACTTGAATTTAAAAATCTGAAAGCCAGTACGACTGCCTAAAAAATAGTGAATGAACGTGTGGTAAAAGTGAATTTATTTTGCTCGTAGAATTGCGCCCCTATCGGCATTGTATTCCAACTTTTTCTACTAGCAAAATAAAATGTCACTTTTACCACTCGTATCATAAATATTTTATACAGCCTCTCAGAAAGCGTTGATGCAAATCGTGCTATAAATTCAATTTTTAACACAAGTGCTAAAAGTGAGACGACGCTCAAATGTTCAGATAAAACTGTGAAGCCACTACTGATCTTATGTGGCACAGTAATTTGTATGCTTAAATAAAATAAAATGAATGTCTGAAGGGATGTTTTAAAATAGTGTATGACACACGCGGTAAAAGTTACTTGCTTTTTCTCGTAGCATTCCGCCAAGTCGATCTCGTGTCGCTTTTACATCCTCAAGGCGACTTTATTAAGCTGACTCCTGGCATTAATGTAACATATTGATTGAACACTTGATCCCGTGTCTTTCCTTGCAATCTGTAACGTATTGTCTGTATAATATTTCTATTTACAGGACAGCTAGCGACTGTCAGGGGAGAGGGGGATCCGTTATCCAATCAGAGGCTTCAAACTGTAATGATGTCACTGTAGAGTTTCCGATATAATAATAAACAAAATTAAATCATACTGCACGCAGTAACTGACAATTAAGAGCGCCATTAGCTATTTTATTAAGCATTGTGTGAGCAATTATGTGTCGTCTACCATTGTGTGATCCCTTGTTTCTTACTACTGTCGCTGTTGTGATCTGATGGATGGCCTAGTCTGATGCAAGAATGATCACACGGCCATGTCTGCTGCCCGAATAAGTGGCAACGTGGCTCTACCCCATCCCTATCTGTCAAGTAGGCAGAAATATTATTCAGACAATAGAGAAACACCACAATCGCTGTTGTTTCGTGACTTCAACTTTTAGAAAAGAAAATCAAACACAATTAAAACTGAACACATTTTATTGCAAGAGTCATTGTATCCAACAGACGGGAACATATTATTCGAGTATGAGTGAATAAATTAGAATGAACAACGTGAAAAATAAGAATCAAGAAAGGGTTCAATAAATGTTACTGTTAGTGAATTAACTGTACAAGTATTACTGTCTTCACTTATTTGGTATGACACCTAAGCAGCCTGACAGTCTATAGTTTCGTATCATAGCATTAGTTTTTGAGCATTTCAAAAAATGTTGGAAAATATTGTATGAACTTCGAAAGTATAAAAATACATTGTCAGTAAATCCCTCCACAATGTCGGGTTGGTGGAACTAAAACATTTAATAACTTAATAAAAAGAAACAAATGTTGACACCAATTAAAACTACACGAGTACTGCACGCACCAAATTTTTAGTACAGGAGAGAAGTGATGCGCTTTGCTAAAATGAAAGCTTAGTTTTCCTATCAAAGACAAAATTTGTTTATTTCCTTCATATCTTAACCAGTAAATACAACTTCCCTGAATATTTGCGCGGAAAATGTATATTTCAATATGTTCGAAGTGATCTCCATTCATAATAATGCACACAAGAAGGACAGCGATTTTTTTCTGCTCGTTTAGCGACAAACTTTAACTGATACTGAAAAATTACTTGAAATGAGTGCTACGACTCACGACCTGGCAAAGGTTGGGCACAGCATCGCATCATTCGAAGTCGAACACCGCAGAACAGTCTGTTAAAATGGTAATTGTGTATGTTATAAAAAATAACTAGCTATATCTTCATTACGAGAAAGTTTCTTAGAAATGTGTGAGGACTAAAAATGCTATTTAGATCACGTAGATTATAATCATTGTGTGTGTTTTTTCGCCCGTTCTTGAACACCTCTATTCATTTTCTTATTTCTGCATTACACGTTGTAATCGCCTTCGAGCTAGGTAGTATTAAGTTATTTTGGGACGGCTACATTTCTGGTTGTGCAAATTCGAGTTAAGAAACCCCAAGGACGATTTAACTGCATTCCCCCGCTCATTCCCACCATCAGCCTTACCCACTGTACCTAAGCGCAGAAAATCCGAACTGCATTCCATCACTGTATGTGCACCGTCATCGGTAATATAGGGAGTCAAGGCTCTTAGGCGGTCTCTCACCATTAATTGCTGCTCATAGCTGCACTCTGTCCGCTGTAAAGGTCAATAAAAACATTGGAATAATATAGGTAGGTAATTACGTAAAAGATGCATGCATTGGCAGGAGGTTTCTTCCAGACCTTCTGTGGAGGGGCCCTGGTAGGGGTGGGGGGCCCATGCGTTGTGACGGGGCTGGTTCCTGTTCGCTTTCCACCTCCAGGGATCTCGCCTCCCTTTCCCCCGTGCATCGCTCTCCTAGTCAATACAATGTATATAGTACGCCCACGTGTTCTACCGCACCACACAATTAGTCATTCTCTCAGAAGGATTGCTCCCCGGATTGGGCATATAGGCTCTTTGGCCTTTATCCGCCCCTACCCCATCCACTGCAAGAAGACCTTCAGTGTGGTACGTGGATCGCGCCAGGACCCAGTTACTCCCCTCGGGAACCGTCCTATTCATTGCCTGGATCGGGCCGCCCTGACAGCTCAGAGCTACTAGCTTTTCAGGCTAGCACCAGAGTCGAATTAATGCGCCTCTCACAATGTACAGGGTCAGGTCCCTTCTCTTTACACATAGTGTCAGGTCTCTGCCACGACGCAGCCAACGCTAACTGGGGTCCCACATTCCGTGTCCTCCCTGCCTCAACCTTGAACCTATCCATGTGAGTGTCGCCGTAACCTAGTATATGAAATTAAGATTCACTTCTAACTGTACAGAGGACGCCGGCTAACGGATCCCACGCCCAATCCAGACCAAAGTTCGGTAGCGTCACCTACTCACTGCCTCTACTTTGAAGCTAACGACGTGCGTGCCGCCGTGAAAATTGAGGGACGGGTGGCCGTTTACAATTTACCACCATGAAGCGCGACCTCCGTGGGCGGCGGTCCCTCCTGCGGGGAGTCAATACAATGACAGAAGTGCGCTCATCTATTTGGGCACTGTCGGATGTGCTAGTGTAGGCGAAAGCTCTTGGTTGGATGGATCTAGTCAAGAACGGGCCTTCCTTTGTAAGCTGGACCTTTATGTGTTCCTGTCGCATGATTTCCTCGTTGGGTATCGTCGCAACTGCCTTCTTCGGATGAGAGTTTTTGATGATCCAGGAGGATGACTAGAGGGGAAAGTCGGATTGAGGAGGCGATCTTGGATGTTGTCTCTTTCTCTGTGGCAATGGTGGCCGAGTTGTACTTTTTGATTGTCTGAATGCTCAGTGATTCTAGGCACGTCAACGACTCAGGTCATTAGTCCCCTAAGTACTGTGCATTTTTTCCTCCGGAAGTGGTGGTGATCTTCCCCTGCTGGACGCTGAGTTTCTGCACCGACATACCTGTCAACTAGCAGAGTTTTCCCCTCAACAAGATATCTCCCACCAGCGGGGCACCGCCCCTCCCGGGACAAGCTCTAAGCTTCTGACCGGTCTCCCGGCGTGTGTAGTAGTGTAAAGATGTAAGTGTGTGTAAGTAACGGGTGAGGATAGGACAAGGAAGGAGAAGGAAAGATCGCGCGCAGTCTGTAACTTGTTTGTTAGGTTACTGGTCTGAGAACTTGCGTTTGTCTCTCGCATATAGACACACAAACAACTCGATTGATTTCGCCGAAATTTTTACACTTTGTTCTTATTAGTATCAAGAGTATTTAAAGAATGGTTTGAATTAAATTGGACATGTGTAAAGGTTTTTTGGCAAAGTTCATCGTCGAGTTGGGCTCTACGCCGTTCTCAGAAGGCCTTGAAGGACGTTTCATGAATAGCTTGTTGAACCACACGCCTGGTTTCGACTCCTAATATCGAATAACATGGATCTACAGAGCAGGAAATCTGAACCAAATACTGACGGTGGACAGTATTCGAATATATGATTTTTGAAGAGTATTTAATACATATATATAGTGACCTTAATGCGTAGTTAATCTTTATTGGATAAATTGATTTTGAACTTGAATTGTATTTGTTTGATGCCCTGCAATAGTGAAGCATTGTCGGGTCCGCTAGAAAGCTATAAAGCTTTCGCCCAAGATATAAGGAAATTAGGCACTTGGGACACATAAAAGTCACTTAACCCGTTCATTATACTATAAAAAATAAAATACTGATACTCGAAGCAAGAACTTTTACACTTGCATGCAATCTTCGCGTTCCACAGAACACCACAAAACAAGATCACCCATAACGAGCATAGCTTGCCTTCGATAAAGAGAAGTGACTTTTCCTTAATTCCTTGAAACCGAGCAACTATTACAAGGATAGCAAGTGACTATTAATGAACTCAGTAAGAGCAGACAAGTATCCACATGCAGTATAATGTGTGAAAATCAGGAAGACTGAGCGGACATAAGTATAAATACCTTACTGCGTCACATGTTCATCTTTGCACAGTGGATGTCGGTTTCTTTCACGAGTTTTATCAGAAGCAGTTTATCATCCTCACAATCACTTTCGTCAAATGATGTGGTTCTCGATATGTAGCACTTACATCAGGAAGAAACCAGAGGGTGTGTAGCGTATTCAAGCTTTTTGTCGTCGTAGGCCAAATTTGGATGTTGCAATGAATTGTAGAAAATGTATCAATTTCGGAACTATCTATTTCAAAGGTTTCACAAATTCCAGAAATATAGCCGGCCGCACTGTTCCTTAGATTAGATAAAACTCTAGAATGTTAAGGTTTTTCGCACTTTCTATTTTATAAAGTACGAGTAGTATAATTTCACCAATTATCGCCAAGCAAGATTTTTTTTGTAAGAGAGAGAGAAAAAGAAAGAAAGAGAGACAGGATCTGGTTCGCGTAAACAACATAACGTCTTATCCCATTGCTCCAACTCTAATTACTGTTACTAAAGTGACAATATTTACTATTTTTCACAATTTTTGGGAATAAATTATTTAGTATATAGTAGTTTGCGCCCTTGGCAGCTGGACCAATTTTAAATATCATTGAAATGACACTAAGGGACTTTAGAGTAGCATGTCTCAGATTCCCCAGCCTAATGCTGCGCCGGAGGCCCGTAAGACCACACCAGCTCCCACTTGTCGCTGAAGCTCGGAGGCCCGTGGCGACGTTTCAAACAGTTTAAGCGTTGTCCGTTTAAGCGTTGCCCGATTAAGCGTTGTCCTTATAAGCGTTGACCGTTTTAGCGTTGTCCGTTTAAGGGTTGTCCGTTTAAGCGTTGTCAGTTTAAGCGAAGTCATTTTAAGCGTTGTCCGTTTAAGCGTTGTTCGTTTAAGCATTGTCCATTTAAGCGAAGTCCTTTTAAGCATTATCCGTTTAAGGGTTGTCCGTTTAAGCGTTGTCCGATTAAGCGTTGACCGTTATAGCGTTTAGGTACAGTGGCGGCAGATGGGTCACATGTCGCGGTCCGGAGACCCATTGACGTGACTTTCTCCGTCTGTCCATGTCATACTTTACCCTCTCGTTCCTCTGTTTGGACAAAGAGAAGGAAAGGGAAATAATGTTTTAACAGGACATGCATGGTGGGTTGGAAAGGCCCGAATCGTGCCACGGCACACACGCAAACGTTCAAGTACGCGGCGTGGACAGCCAAGCATGATGATAAGAGAAGAAGCTTATATCATAGAATACAACAGAAAAGATAAAGGCCTATAATTAATAGGGAGGTGAATCTGACGCCCCAAAGCACAGATGAATCTTGGACAGGTAAACAACACACGAACAGACTGGAGAGATGCCGGAATGCCACACGACCCAACAAGTGGGCAAGGCGAAAATGAAAAAGAAGACAACCTCGCGCGGAATGATATCTACAAATAAAAACCACTCCCTACACATGACCGCGCCAAGAGAGGTGTGGCTCAGGGAATCAACTCATGTCACTGTAGTGCCTCTTATCGGGAGATCCTAGGTTCGGTCAGGCGGCAGGAGTTTCGACATTAGATAGGTAGGTCGAATTCAGTCGGTGTCTGGAGGAGAATTCTAACGGCCGGCTGGGCTGATCGGTAGTTTCCCGTGATTTTTCCGTTCAATACCAGGCGAATGCTGGAGCATTATCCTAATAAACGGGCCACAGACCGCGCACGATCTTTGCTTCCTTTTCCTAGTCCTATCTTCACCTCTTATTTACTCATGCACGTATATGCACTACATTACTTGTCGGGAGACCGGTCGGGTGCTTGGAGCTTGTCCCGGCTGGTGCGGTGCCCCGCAGATACCTGGGTGGGGGACCCTGCTGGCCGACGGTAGGTCGCGCCAGACCTCACCATCCAACGGGGAAAGATCTCCACCACCTCTGGAGGATAACGCAAGCCCCACATTTACGCGACTAATGTCCTTAGAAGTTGACGCGGTAAGATTTCTAATCTATCAGTCAATCACACCGGCAATTTGATGTAGAGCGTGCTCTTTAATTAATAATATTTCTAATTTCCTGCGGGATGCAAGGCAAACTTGTAATTCCTCATTAAAAATTAGTTATAGATATATGGGCATTTAAACGAGGAGCCAAATTGAATTTTTTTCGAAAAACAATTCCAAGTAACTATTTACATCTTTACTGTTCCACTATTTTTCTCCCAGATTACTATTAATAGACTTTATGTTTTTTCTTAGGTATTCCGAAAGTCACATTCAAATTAAAACCGAGGTGCGTTCTAATATTTTCTTTAGAATTTTGTTGTTTTTTCAAGAATTCAAGGAGAAAAAAATATCTTTGTGCTATCTCTTAAGACTCAAAACGTTGCTTTATTCTAAAACACAAATATATGATATTTTGTCCTCTTTGGGTTCGACCGCCTTTTCAACGGACATTCAGGCGCAAATATGCAACTACAAAACCTCCTGATACACAAATATTTTGGAGCAATAGATTGAAGGGAGCAAAGGGTCTTATTGAAATATATTTGAAACAATTGTTTATCGTAGAACCAATGAATATATGAATGAAAAGAGGAAAGGAAGGAATGAATGAAAGGGAAGAATGACTGAATATAAAGATAAAATCTCTTTGTTCGCAACGTTTATGTTTCGTAAATAAATTTATAAACATAATAAATTAAAACATAAATAAAGAAAGAAATAAATAACCTCCGCAGCAGAGCGTCGTTAGAGCGAGTTGTGTGGGAGGTCGGGGAAGAGGTCGTCGAGGACCATCACGTCGAAGAAGCGCTGCAGGAGGCCTTGGTAGAGCTCGGAGAACACCAGGTCCACGGCGGGCCCCGCCTGCTCGCCCAGCAGCTGGCTGTGCTGGTTCATCAGCGCGTTCGTCAGGTTCGCTGCAGACAGGCAAGTCCAGACATGACCAATGCATTCGAAACAGCTGATCTGGGTAGCTGATATCTATACGGCAGACTTCCATTGTCTGTCTCGACTCAAAGGGTTGCGGGTTCGTAGTGGCACGGTGCGCAGTGGCACGGTCGTAGCGTTTCCAAACCGCCATGTATCACCTCAAGAAATAAGCTTTCGCTCCAATAACTTCCCATGTTGTTTGGTTGGCGATCTGCCTGTCGTAATTAGACGCCTGACATAATTAATTCTAGTTTTGGGATAATACAATACACATCATTGTTAAGAAAAATCATAAGGCAGGCTAAAATCATGAAACATGATCATATTATTTTGAACTCAAATAATAAAACAAAAGTAATGTGGAATATATTTAAAAAATTGACCAAATCAACTATAAACCTTGTACAGAATGTTGTTTTAAAATATAACGATAGAAATGTGAACGATCCGGCAACAGTGGCTAGTCTTCTCGTGGCTAGTTAACCAAAACATTTCAAAAAATTGCTGCCGATCTCACAAAGGGTCTTTAGCAACAAAATTCAACATCAGACGTTTCCCCAAAAAATTTAGACACGACTTCATTTTCGAGACTTCTTCCAATGAAATTCTCAAAATAATAGGTAGACTACAAAATAAATATTCGATATTTTAAAACATAACTTAAGCCTGATCTCTGAAAACATGACTGCTAGTTCACTTTTGCCATGAGTTGTGTGGCTGAGAATTTTTGAATTAACACGACACACGAAACACGACGCATTTTCAAATTGCCAACATGGGTTTCTAAAATCAAAATCTGCGAAAACAGCCATATTTGTGCCTAGAACGCGCCTCTCCCTGAAAGCCAAGTAGTAACTTAGATTTATACATTTCTTCGTTACCAGGGCCCGACAATACGAATTCATGTCAAAAAGTCGCAGATGTCCACCCAAGCATTACGATAACATCCCTTTACTAGTTACGAAGTAAAACAAAGTAAACGGGAAAGTAAATAATATACTTTTTAAAGAGCGAATTTGTTTTTTATTATGTTGAGGCCCCCTGAAAGCGAGGCCCCAGGCGGGCGCCGGGTTCGCCCATGCGCTAAATCGGCACTGCCTGACGTCAACTTCTTCTTCTTCTTCTTCTTCTTCTTCTTCTTCTTCTTCTTCTTCTTCTTCTTCTTCTTCTTCTTCTACTACTACTACTACTACTACTACTACTACTGCTACTACTACCATTACTACTGCTACTACTATTTCGTTTTACAATACTATCGTTAAAATGAAGATTTTAGCAAAGCATACTCACACATTTTTTCGTTCCCAAAGAGGTTCTTCATGTCAAAATGAATGCGGCCGAACTTGGATTCAAAGGAGAGATTGTCCAGCTTTAAATGACGACCTGTATTGCGCTGTTCAGGGTGGCCTTGAAAGGTGACAGCAAATCGAGAGTTCTCTGAAAAAAGAAATTTTACGATGAAAACTGTAAGTAACTGTGGAAGCCAAATTCGAATCATTGTGTGCTAAATTCGAAAATTCTCAGCCACACAACCCATGGCAAAAGTGAACAAGCAGTAGAGTTTTCAGATACCAGGCTTAAGTTATGTTTTAAAATACCAATATTTTCCACGAAAAACATTGATACATTAACATGATTTTTTTTATTTCCGATGTTTTTTTCAAATATTTTTCACGAAACATCGATGTTTTCAAAAAAGTTTACGTTAATTTTTTGATGATTTTGTAAGTGATAATATCGTTAAACTGCATTTTGAACATTGTGCGTATATTCGTTAGAAAATTAAGATAACATAGAATATACTTGAAACTAATTTATTATGGATTATGTATATTAGATACAGGACTTTTTTCATCGACTATTTCAGTCGTGTCAGTCCGTGTCGTAAGTAACCAATGCTAAGCAAGAATGTATTCAAATTAAACTTATCCCAGATATCTATCGCCATATAATTATCACTTTGTTTACCTTTTGCACTGCGCTGTAATCACTTTGTTTACCTTTTTTTGAGATAAAGACAGCAATTGTTTTAGGTTCATAATAGCTGGTGATGAACAACGTAATATTAATTGTGTCTTTTTGGTAATTTTTAAAACTGCAAAATAATCTATTATTAAAGATTTAGTGCCGAAACTCAGCAAAAGAAGCAGAGAAAGTGTGTGGAATCAATTTCAAGAATTTTGTTAAGTTAGAAAATATAAATGGACACTCCAAACTACAAATGAGGAAATTACACATATTTTAGGCAATTAATATGCGAAGATTATGTGGTGAAGAGCACAAAGAATATGCTATCAAAACTATGCGGAACAATACAACCAAAATTATTCAGGAAAATACTTAAATGAGTACACGCGTGTGTTCAATCCATTAAAAATTGACGAACATCGCTGCTACTACAGCTTGCACATCTTTTCATTTCGAGAACTTCCACGTAATTCTAAGTATGAAAAATTCAACTTCCTACAACTTAAATAACTGTGTTTTTAATAAATGTTCTTATAAGTAGTTTTGTTATAATTGCTCTTTGAAAGTTTGATTGCCATAAAATAGAATTATATTTGAAATCATTTTCTGCATTAAACTGTTATTCATATTTTACTTCATTATAAATTATTCCAGGAGGCAGTGATAACTCGGATCTTGATGAGTTTCACATATTCCTGTAGCAATTTCGAATAATATTTTTTTTCGTATTGTTGAAGGTCCCCTAAACCCCAGTAAATTAATTATGATTAAATTAAAGAAGTGCATAAAAAATAAACTTGCCTGCTTCGACGTTGTAAAGGCCGTTGCCCTTGAGTGGGATGAAATCAAGTAACTCCCCATCAACCTCGTAGTGCCCGCTCATCCTGAACAGCGGAAAGAACAGGTCGGCCAAGATGGTGAAGTTCTCCAGATTCACCCTGTACATGGGAAATTCACTTTCTTCAGACATGTTACTTATATTCCCGGCTCGTTTCACGACATGTTGCCAAAACGTCTGATATTTCGCATTTTACTTCTTGCTAATTAAGGGTGAGAAAGTAAAAATTACTTGGAACAGCTCTGGATTGAATAATATAATTTATTAAAAGCCAAGCCGAAACATTCTCCGCCCAATCGCGTGTGTCCGCCCATAAAAGAGAAGCAGCGCTGGCTGACTGACCTGGCGTCGAGCAGCGAGGCACGTGCCCAGCCCATCTGGCGAGAGTCGCTCAGGTTGAGGGCGAGGCCCGGCATGAGGCCGTTGCCCCTCGGCAGCTGCACCGACGGCACCAGCAGCGGCTCCAGGCGCACCAACCCCAGCCGCCGCGACCCTGACCACCAACGTACCAAAACCACTAACCGTCAGCGCACCCGGGGGCTTACAGCGCATTCGCATCGAGAACGAGAACTAAAGCAGGCCACTTAAACGCAAACGTCTTATTAGAAAGTAGTTGCAAGTCGGGATGATAGTAGGTAATCTTTGTCGTTAAAAGGAAATAATGCATTTTTAGAAAAATGAGGCATGTCGTCCTATTTAAAACAGGCGTAAGACTAGGAACTACTTGGAATAAAAAACCACTCTCAATTTCTAAAAGCATTTATTGAATATTTGTCTACTTTCGGGCTTGACTTTTGCTTTTACAATTATTGCAAAATAGAAATATTTGCTGGCCGGATTGTCGAGATAGCTAAAGATAGAAGTACCGTGGCGATCTCAGATCGAAGGATCGTGAGTTCCAATCCTTTCTTGGGTAGGAAAAAAATATTAATATGAAATGGAGGTGAAAAAATAGTAAAATATGTAATTCAAGACAAGAAATCTTATTGTATCGTGCGATTATGTAAGGTAAATGTTTATATATCGGAAGAAAAGTATAGCTATGTACTTATAAAACATAGAATGTAACAATCTTGCTATAAAACATAGCTTGTATTGGGAATGTTAAATATGAGACGATTATGCCCAACTAGGTGCATCATGCCTATTTTTGGGACAAGCGATGCTGCCTCAACTTACATATAATCTCCAAATCCTAAAAACTATGTTAGTTTATCCTTGTCTTATATGAGTTTACGTGATTAACCATCAAGTTCCTGCTCTATTATTTTGATACAATACATTTTGCATTCACAGGGTTATTGTATGCACATTAGTGCCGAATTTGAGAGAATTAATTGTGGAGAAAATGACGTAAAGCGAAGGCCTTCAACACATGTGTCCACAAACCTGCGAGAATGTCGACGCATGTGCAGTAGAATTCTCTTCGGAATTACGTTGCGTCTTTTCACATGCTTGGCTTGCAAAAATCCCCTATTCACTATGATATAGACATGAACATGAAGAGAGCTACTCATCAATACTGTTCAAGGGTAGCAACACTGGCGCACCTCCAAAAATAAATCTAAATATTTATTTCGTGATTCGCTGGTGGTTCAAATAATTTACCACTCTAATTGATGGATATTGCTGTAAGTGTAAATAAAACGTTTCTTAGAAGTTTTTTTTAATCCAAACTACTAAAAATTTATATAATCAATATTTCAGTGTTTTAATTTTTTACAATCATGGTACAAAATTAAACTAGAATATGAATTGAGGTTGAAAGAATGTTAGATGTCCAGTGTTAACAACACCAAAATATCAGTTAAACAAAGATAGAATAGTTCCTTATTACTAGCAAATATCGTTTCTTTTGACCAATTTAAAAATATGTAAGTTCTTCAAATAGGGGTTGAACGATGTTTATTGAATTTTTTTAAAAATGTTTTTGAAAAATTAATGTTTTCAATTTTAGATTTTCAATGGTCCTTCAATTTTCTGTAATAATTCATCACGATTTCGAAAGATGTAACTTCAGATTCGACACCCTCTAAATCAAGTGAAGTAAAATTAGTATTATTTACCTGGAAGAATGAACTTGAGCATCTTATTTGCAGATTCTCTGAAGCAGATGTCAAGCTCTGGATCCTTCGCACTGCACACTTTCACACTGCGAGCTGGAAAAGTCCACAAAAACCTACAATGTAATACTATATCTAGATAGATAGTGTATACAAGAGCAGATTAAAATGAGAGTAGATTCAAACCGAACCTCGTTAGGCTTGTTTAGGCTGAACGAATTTACTCGCAACTTCAGGAAAAACCACGTCAGAGAACGAGTTCCCAGAAGCGAAGAGAGTGTAAGATTCCGCCTACATAAAAGAAACAGGCTTTACGTCGCACCTCGGCCAGTGCATCTAACCGGGAGGACCAAGGGTTCTAATCCCTTCAGGGGCCGATTTTCGACACTAGTAATAGAGCTAAGTTAAATTCAGTCGCTGTCTGAAGGAAACGTTTAGCGGACGACTGCTGTGATCGGTAGTTTTCCATGGTTTCTCCGTTCAGTATCAGGCAAGCACAACCGTCACGAATGGGTTATGGACCACGCGATCATCCCTTCCACATTCTCGCCCCCGAAACTAACGACCACGGTGAATAACGCACTCCGAAGCACAAAACAATCAAACAATTCTAGCATTACAGCCAAGGGGCGGCTGGGGTCTGCTTCTTGCTTTAAAGAAACACTGAAATTCAAATTTATGAACAGTATGATGAACACTACTGTATCTCGTTTATTATTTCAAAATACTGTTCTCTAAACAGCCCGCTTTATCACGGTCAGCACACAGTAGCTATTGTTAGACGCAAAACGAATGTGTCCCTTCAACTTTGCTATAAAAGAGCAAATTCCTAGCCAAATAGCATATTTTGAGAAATAGATGAATTAAAAGATGTAATCTTAAATAATAAGTATACAACGTAAATTTGTTTAGCGTCTTATCCCATCATAATATCGTATAGCAACTTGTCATCAACAAAACTATCGTAAACTACGATGACACGTTTCATTTTATCTATACGAATTGTCAATAACGACTTCTGTATTTTTTTTAAATTAATCAGATACAGCCTTGATGAATATGATTTTGAGCATGATTGTCAATATTAGTGACATCTGACTGATTGCCAACTTCTGCCTGTGAAATTCAAGGCTTAAAATAAAAAAGGATGTGGGTGTCATTTTCATACTTTCGAGAAAAATGAGCTTACATGTACGTTAAACTTACTGGCACATACATTTGAACACCTACCATTTACAGTCACCCCGTAACACTATCAAGAAATGCGCCTGAACTTCGGTTCTTATTAATGTCATAGGGCTTTTTTCATTCCTCATTATTCTGGTAAAATTTAAATTTAACAGAAATGGCACTTACATCCATTTTACTTTCTCGCTACGGAGTAGAGAGAAAGTTATGTAAGGCTGAGCGGGAAAACGAATTTTCGGCATACAAATTTATTAGAGGGCCGTGGTAAGAAAAAAGTGGATGAACCTATTTATTACATTTAGGGGGGAGGGGGAATCCTCGATCTCGTGGAGTAACCAGAATCGATGTTTTGTGGGTCCTTCATATAAAAAAATCGAATGACGGCAAAACGTCTGTCCGTCTGTGAACAACGCTAGCGGCTAAACCGTTCAGCCCATTTTCTCCAAAATTGATATTTCCCAATCGATCTGGCTGATTTTGTGGCCTCATTAATTTGAAACGGATATTTTGATTTTGGAGGGCACTTTACATCAAGCCTCTGAAACATTTTTCAATTTTTTTTAAAAAATGGCTCCATGGGTTTTGATTAAATTTTGTTGATTGAATAGTGCGGACCACGTTTAAGAGAATGGTGCAACTCTCATGTTCATTAAAAATTTCAAAAATTGCTCAAATTCAATTTTTTTCGGAAACTTCCTACACCTAAACTATTAAATATCGATATATTTCCCAAATGAAATCTGTTTCCTAAAAAGAGATTGTGAAATAAGGTCATGTACAATATTTCAAAAAATTGAGTACTTTTCGTGTAATATTGCGTAGACGTAAGGGCGAGAATGTAGGAGCTGTTTTAGGCGCCACTAGTTTATTTCAAGTCTTCAATTTACGAAAATGACGTGAAATATCTCGTCGCAAGACAAGCGAAGACACTTACGCAGCTGCGGCTTCTTCCTGGTGGCGTTGGTCGGTGAGGAGGCGACGATGGGACGGGGCGGCGTCAGGGCAGTTGCAGGGCTTGTGGACGGAGCCGAGGGGGCAGAAGAGGACGGATCTGAAGATGATGTTGAGGAAGGATTCGAGGACGCAGATGATGATGCTGGGCCCGTAGTTGAGAGCAGGTCTGAGGACGGGGAAGGGGAAGGAGCTGAGGGTAGGGTTGAGGAAGAATCATTTGATAACGTGTTTGGGGCAGGATCATCTGAGGATTGCGTTGGGGAAGGATCATCTGGGGATGGGGTTGAGGAAGGGTCATCAGAGGACAGGGTTGAAAAAGAATCATCTGATGACGAGGTTGTGAAAGGGTCATCTGAGGACGGGGTTGAGGAAGAGTCATCTGAGGAAGGGTGAAGAGAGGACTCGGTTGAGAAAGAATCATCAGAGGTCGGAGTTGAGAAAGGGTGATCAGAGGACGCGGCTGTGGACGAGGTTGCGGACGCAGACGACGAAGTAGAAGCCGGGCTAGAAGTCGTTGTGGAGTCCAGCGGAGCCGAAGGCGCAGCCGAGGCCAACGCCAGGAGCGAGCCCAGCGCCAACCCCAGACCCAGACCCAGACCCAGCCCAGTCCTGAGCGGCGACGATAGCGAAGCAACGCGCGTGCAAGTCATGGCGGCGACTCCCCGGAGCACAGCGCGGAGGCTCCTCTTAAGCGTGCGCACCCGACCCAGTCGCCCAGTCGCCCGCGGCGGCTGCTTTCGCTCGCAGACACAGCTCCCAGGGGTGGCTCTCCCTTCTCCCTCGCCGGGGAAATCGAACCACTCTCACTGGCGAGTAAAATACAGCTCCCAACCCTTCAGGCGCCAGAACCACTCCACGGTCACGCATGTTTGGGATGAAATTATTTATTGAGGTTTAGAAGCCTTGTCACAGCACAGGCAACTTCATTTAGAGAGGTGATGTTGGCTAAGGTCACGGAGGGCCATGAGTGATCATCGAATGAGTAGATGGCTATAATGATGATGATTGTCGGCTTACGTGGGTCAAGGTGCTGGAGGAAATGTATTGGTTTACCAATTAAGGCGAGATTTTGTCACGACGTTACGTTTGACCAAATCAGCTGTTAACTTCATCAGGTACATTTTACACTGTAGAGGATTTGTAAATTTATTTTTCACCCATGTGGATGCGAAATAAAGGTAGTAAGTATATAATAACAGAAGGAAAGATAATAACTACAAGAACTAAACGTCCAAACAAATATTTATTTATTTAGTAAAAACTATATTGTGACGTATGGGGAAGATAATCTGTGCACGTTTTCTAGAGTTCCAGAATCCCTTCCCAACATTTTAACAAATAATAGTTGAATAATAATTAGCTTTTAATAGTTGAAAGATTAATAAAATTTTAAAGAATAAAACAAACAAAATATATTAATAATAATAATAATAATAATAATAATAATAATAATAATAATAATAATAATAATATTTTTTAAAGCGCGAGGTAAGCAACATTTGGAAAACTAGACATTTTCGTTCCCGAGTTACAGAAATTGGCATCGGTAAACGAATTTCAAGTTTTTATTTTTTTGCATTTCTAACAAAACAATAACTCACCCCAGAGAAGAAGAATTATTATTTATAAAGAATTAAATATACGAAAATTAAGGAATAAACTATGCTAACTCAAATACCTATAACACATCACAAGATCATAACGCCAAGACGCCACCAAGAATTCTGAAACTGAAATTAATTGAAATAAATGGTAGAATATAATAAATTAACCAGAGGTTCGCGTTGGTTCGCATTGGTTCACAGCGTCACTCTCGCTCGCGACTTCTTGAATCTCTCTCAAAAATTGAGCGTTCAGGTGATTCGAGGAGTAAATCGAAGAGAATGTACTCTAGAGTAAAATAATCCTCCAGAAGCGTGATGAAACGCTTATATCCTTCTCGAGAGTAACTATCGTAGAGTAATGCTTACTAACAGGTAGTTACTCATAACTTAACTTGGCTGTTGGTGAAACCGGCCGTAAATAGTGCACCAGGGGAGTTCTAACCGTGAGTAATGAACGGCCGCACATAGTTAATCCTATTGTTAGTGGCGCCCTCAAGGGAGTGGGGGCTCATGGGGATTCACTCCTCCCCCCCCTCCCGAGGTCAATGATGCATATTAAAAAATATAATTTTGCTTTTACTAATTTTCTATACTAACGAAAGTAATTCAATATATCAATTGTAAACGTTATAAGTATTAAATGTAAGTGAACAATTTTTTTCAGCGTAAGAAAAAAACACTTCATAAGAAAACAACAAGTCGGCTGGACACTACACCTACAGCACTCCAGAGAAAAATCCTATGTAATGTGCAAACTTTTGTTTTGATCCAACACGTTTTAAGGACTTTTTAATAAAAAATTCTTTCATACTTTGTTTGACGACTTCTGTGAAGTAGCTTATATTCCAAGGATTTGTGTCAATGAATTTCGCCCAATATCAGATAATTTTCTTCCATGTCAGTCACAAGAGAAATAATCTCGATTCGATCCGAACCCACAGCCTTGATATAATGGGGCGCCTGCTGCAAAACCCCTGCAGCATCACCGAATTACAAACTGCTAATTTCTGTTTTTAATGTAATCGCCATTAATCCATATATTGAAAGAAATGCATGGATACAAAATATGTTGTGTCTTTCACAAAATTAAATTTTCTCCACTTCAGTCGATAACAGTTCGCTTTCAGTAACAAACCTGTCGGAGGAAAATTGAATGAAATCCGCCGGCCAATGAAATGGAGCTGTCTTCGCCTAGAGCATGACCCACTTAAGTGCGAAAGCCGAGCGAGGAAGGAGCACGGCTGCGGGAAATCCAAAGACTTTACAACGTGCAAATCGCGGCGGGATGCGTCTCAGCAGCCGCGCCCGCTACCACCCGCCATAAAGCGGCCGCAGGCGCTCCGACAAGGAAAATAGGACGTACGCCGCGCTTTTTTCTGCTACGAGGTATTGACTACAATAGGTTCTTATGTACCAAGGGCGCAATAAGGGCCCTAAGGGCGCCTTCCCACGCCGCCACGGCAGCACGCGTACGTCAATCGGCAGGGCTCTTCGCCGACCCTCAGGCGGCGTCGAACAAAGGGACTGCCGCAGGTAGAACGCAGCGACCGGCGGCACAGTGGGAAGGCTACCATTTAAAGCTGTTCTCTGCTAGCGGTGGCGCGCACACCCTCCTCCGCTTCGCGTAGCGAGAGTCTTGACGGAAGCGCGCTGCCGTCGCGACGTGGGAAGGCGCTCGAAGAACCCTTCCCACATACAGCGGGCGAGCACTGTACTGCGGCAAGCGGCGGAGGGCTCTCGCTACGCGAAGCGGAGGAGGGTGTACGCGCCACCGCTAGCAGAATACAACTTGGTAGGCTTCCCACTGCGGCCGCCTGTCGCTGCATTTTACCTGCTGCGGTCCCTTTGTTCGTTGTCGCTGGAGGGTCGGCGAAGAGCCCTGCCGCTTGACGGATGCGCGCTGCCGTGGCGACGTGGGAAGGCGCACAAAGGGTCTTAATGATGGAGTGGTGACATAAGTCCGAAGGTCTTCGGCCCGAGGGCTTTTTGTTGACAGAGATTATAAGAATAGTTCACTGCCTTGGTACATACCCCATTTTATTTTTTAGGTAATTTCAATGATTCAGATTTACTTATTTTCTAATTGACTCAATCTTAACATGACTCGGTTTATCTTTTCACATTTCTCTCCTACAATTCCGTTTCATAGTTTCCTCCATTATAAGAGAACATGTAGTATCATTGAACTATTCTCATATTTCCCTCGTTACCTCGATCCAAGTATGTTATACGTGTACATTCTTCGTATCAAAGGCAATGAGTTATCAATAAAAAAAATTATCTTAGTTTAGAAAGTATCAAAAATATTTTAGTTCTGTTTGTTTTCGTTATCACAGAAACAGTACTGAGTGAATCTTAATGTAGTGGATATATACTTATATGATCACTCGTGTTGTAATATTTTTCATACTCGAGTATGATTTCATTTCCATTTCATAGTCGTGTATTATCCATCAATATTTTTTTTTAATTTCTGGTGTAACTGTATGTTATTAGATGCCATTTTCTTTTCTATATAATATTAAGTTAAAACGGTTTTTCATTTTTAAAGGGAACGGAATCGGGACAATTGATCTTAATAGAAATTTATTAAATATTATTCTTTCTGTACATGTTTTGCCCTGAAGTTGTTTTGTTATCAAACCGTATAAAAATATATTAAGTTAAATCAATAAACTCCTTGGTGGTAGCAGATATCTTGTGACAATGCATAATATGGTAACAGAAAAAATCGTCCACAAAAGGTTTAATAATTTTTATTAATTATTACCCAGAGTTAACTTTCGAGAAACATTTTTCCGATTCTCAGTTCTCTTCTAGCAAGGAGGAGAAAATTGAAACATTTACACAAGTTGAACAAAAGAAATACAGTGAATTTGGTGAAAAAAGCAAACAAATAATATAAAATAAATATAATTGAAAATACTTACTGCCCAAGCAACGTGGATCACTCATAAATGTTCACAATATAGTCAAAAAATATGGAAACAGCAAAACATGCTGTTTAGAGCTAGTTGGCAGCCATCTTTTGGAATGGAAGAATAGGAAGCCTACCAATTGTGGGAGGGGGGGACTGAAGAGTAGAAAGGGTAGTCATAAACTGATTTAAAATTGACTGCTTTTCATTCAGGAATGTAATACAGGGCAGAAAATAGTAATTTGCATGATTCTAGAATTTGCAGTCAAATTTAAATCTTATTTATGACTACCCTTTCTACTCTTCTGTCCCCCCCTCTCCCGAAGGCTTCCTCTTCTTCCATTCCAACATGTTAATATTTCAATTTTCTCCTCCTTGCCCACTGAGGATGGGAAAAGTTTTTCCCGAAAGTTAACTATGGGTAATAATAAATGAAAATTATTAAATCTTTTGTGGACGATATCCTTTACCATATTATAGTTAAATCAAGCTACAGATTTGGCAGATTAATCTCAAATTGTTTAATTAATTCAAAGTAAAATATCCCTATGAAAGATGAAATATATATATATATGAAATCTGTACAAGATGACATATGACAGGTTCTTTGATTTGGAAATTGCATAAAATAAACAAGAATTGGAAATTTCACTTGTCATGTGTTTTCACTAACGATGAACATAACGTTTCATTCATTTATCCTTCTAGGCGACTTTTACATCTATTTTAATATACTTTTTTATTTTATTACATATAAATGTATTACAATTTTTAAATATTTAAAGATTATAATGTTTCAAATACATTTTGTAGAAAAATAGTTTCTACCCATTTTAAATAATTCATATTCATATTTTTAAACTGTTTTGCCTACGCACGTGTTTTGCTTCCTTTCATGCCAGTATAATGTACAAGTGCCGCCATGTCGCCTTCTGTTAAGTTTCTCGCGACCCGTTTGCTCTTTACAACCATCGGTCAGTTTCACTTCCATGACTCTCGAAGGAAGCCCTCTATGTACATCCAATTCGAGCTTGAATGCACGAGGCGTAAATAGAACTGCTCTCAAGGAAAATCCGGAATTGCCACAAGACCTGGGCTCCTTTCTTCTACCTTAATATTGGTTTGGTTC